GGTCGAGGCAAAACAATGTATATAAGGGAGGGTCAAGCTTAAAAGATAGATATAGTTACGTAAACCGCTGTTCATTAAGACGCGCACTTTTCCCTAGCGTGACGCTTCCTCGTTCGTTTGCGCGGCACAACACGCCGGGGAAAAAAGTTGTGCGAGGGGTTGACGAACTCTGCCTCGACTGTGTCAAAGGGAAATAGAAAAATTATACTTGAGCCTGGTGATGCATTCTTTATTGATCGTCGTACGTAGGTAGCTGCAATTTATGAGCGGACTTGAATACCTTTAGCGGCATTGCGTGCGAGATGAAAATTATAGGCGATCGTGTACGCGAGTACGATGAAAATTAAAGACTCGCTTGATTTTCATTATCTTTTATAGTCGACGTCGACAAATTTCCAACTCCGTAGTTAAGTAACGTCGAGACATCTCGCGCTGCGCAGCTTTATTTGTGAGAGCGTCTGGTTCATGAAATGTAAAACAACGAATTTCCGTGCAGTCGCGAGACAATCGGCCTGATGGAAGATGAGCCAAGTGAATTAAAGCCACTCTACACGAAAACAGCCTAAACTCCTTTTTCTTTCAATTACCGGCTGTGCGTCAGAAGAGGGTCAAACGTTTCATCAACAACGCTGTTCCATTCTGTTTTCGTTTCGTTTTGTTTGTCTTCGCAGTCTGCTGCAATCTAATAATTACTCGACGCGGACTGCTTTCAATGATTGCCGCCTCACTCGTTAAAGACGATTCGCTTGGGAAAATAAAATTGCCGATAAAAGCCTATAACTTTATAGATCAAGATGTGTAAAAATCTGACAGATTTTTTTTGCACGACATGAAGAGTTAACGAGTTTTCATAGCTCGTATGTAGGTCATGTCAGACCAGATCTGTTAGAGTTGAATTTATGATGTTTTATATGAAAAGAGTCTTCTTTTCCTTTTGAAAGAGAGGGGGGGGGGGCTAAAATTCTTCAAAAGTTTGTAGTAATGTAAGAACAGTTTATCACATTAGCCTAACGAAGTCTGGTATACATGGGATTGGCTAAAAATAATGATATTTGCACAGTGTCAACTCGATGCGTGAGCGAGGGCCTTGTTTTTACAGGAATTAGTGGTGTTCAAAGAATTCTTTTTTCTGGAAATTCGTTCTAAGCATAGAATATCATAATGGATGTTTGATAGTATAATTAACTTACATTAGATAACGCTCCTCAATGTATTTCGTAAAAACGTAGAGGACAAATTCTACGCTTCCTTGTAAATTGGAAATCCGTAAAGTCAAACAAATTTTTGGAAATTGAAACCGATAAATTTACCGCCGACACTCTTACACAAAAATATTAAAACAGCGTGCGTCAGTTTCCGCTTGCCAACTGAAATTTTTCCACTCCTCGTGTAAAAAAAGAAATAATACCGATTCCTCTGCCGACAAAACTAAAAGATGCAGCGCAGCTGCACGCACCACCGGAAAATACGTCTGTGTTATCTGCGTTGACGGCATTTCCGTGGATGAACCGAAGGCATGATTTAGACATTGGGCAATCTTTTGCGTTGTTTACCGACCGAGCGTAAAACGATGAGTCAAACGATGAAAAAAGCTTCTGTTTCTGTTCTAGTTAATAAATTAACTTTGAACACAAAGTTTTCTTTTCCAAAAAGAAATTATGAGTCAGCAGATAATTGAGTTGGCAAACAATTAAAGATAGTTTTTTGTGAAAGAGACCTGCCAAAAAAAATTAATAAATAAGAAAAAATTCTCTTTTTTTTTATTCAAGGTTTTTCAATTTAAATAAAATAACACATTTGCGATCTCATGCGACAAATAGACTCTTTCTACAAAATATTATCTTTGCTATCTCTCGGTGAATGGCACGTTCATCGAATATTACATTCGTCACGCTTTTAATAATAATACCAAGTTCCGTTGAAAATGAATATATAACGTTCGCAGCTGCTGTGCGTCTGGGTGATTTCACTTCCGAAGGTCGGTTAGACGGTTATCAGTCATCAGTCATTCGTCGCGCCAGACGCACGAAACCAACGAATTTTCATTTGCTTTTCACAAGCGTGTGTGTCCTCGCTGAAAATATGTTTGTCACACGCGAAGTGATCGCGAATTGACGTAGCAAAATATCAGCTGGTGCTCGCGCAAATGCAACGACGTGACACTTTCAATGGTTGTCTTCGCGCACAAACCCGCCGCCATCAGATAAGAGAGTTATAGCGTCAGTCTTCGGTTGCTCGCAAGCGAGGACGACTAAGTATTACACTCGCACTGATGCTCGTTCGTGTGAACGATTAAGATGCGTTATAACCTATATCGACCGCCGTTTCAAATTGCTACAAGTGTGAATTACGAATGGGAAAAAAAAAGAAAAGCAGTCTATTATCTTCGGTCAACGAGAAAGGAGGCTAACTACGCCGTGGCATGCGAATGACGGCCGAAAATTGGACGAAGTGCCACGCGTGAGGTTGCGAAGCTACCACCCACTAGACGATGAGTTGAGTTTTCTTGCTCTGTCGCGCTTACGCGTCCTTTATTTGACGATAAATAGCCGAGCGGCGGGTTACCCAAGAGCTCTTTCAAGATCGGCTTACGACCAGCGATAAATAGATTTGGTTTTATTAAGCTCGGACTTGTTTACGAGATGCACGATGATGGTGTATTGTGTTTCGTGCTGCGTTTGCGTTGGCGTTGCCTTTTAATGCTGACATAGCCGTTAGATAGTAATGTATTATCGTTCGAGGACGGTGATTAAACGGTTGCGCGCGCAACGTGCAGTCAAAATAGAGTATCGAAAAAGCCTTAGAAACGAAAGGTCTCCAGATCGCCCGTACCTATCGCCGCTTGAACGAGAGCTTAAATTGACGCAGGTGGTCGTGACAGATACGCAGCTTACTACTGTCTCGCGACAGATTTGAGTTGATCCTTTGAATTGCACTTCGGCGCAATATTACCGCATTATCGTATGTGTGTGCACGCGCGATCAAAAGCTGAAAAATAAACGCGTGGAGAAGCCTCGTCCGGATATTTGTAAGTGCGATCAGCGCATGACTCCGTACGAAGTCGACAGGGATTTCGTTCGAAAATTTAAGTAAACGTCTTACGCGACCCTGCTCTTCTGTGTAATGTGAGCTTCCGATAACAGGCATAACTTGTTTGTTTTCATTGGTGTTTATGTAATAAAGACGTTGCTTGAATAAACTATAAATGATGACTGCGAAGCACGACAATTGTTACTAAAAACGAGCGTAAGAACAGACTGTTACAACCGGTGCGTAAACAAATATTGCCGTGCTGCGTGATCTGGATATCATCTGGATATCGATCTGACCCGAAACCGTCTAAATAATCAAAGACTCTCTGCCTCCGCTTCCATCCACAGACGTCCAAGTGTCAAAACGTCACCTGTGCGCCTCGTGCCAGGCTCTCGAGTCCACGCGGAGTCCTCAACAAACACCTCGACCTGGACTTGTACGTCGCGGAGCTCGCGCGATCAAATGCCTCGTAAGACTGATCATCTTCGTGGCTCTCACTATTGCAATGGCTTATGCCGGCTGGCTACTCTACGACGAATTCTTTGAGTGCTTGTGGGCTGCTACTCAAAGCATCGTTTACATGAGCATCGCTCTGCTGTTTAGCAGCGCTGCTTTGCTGAACGCTTGCAAGAGCGGTGAATTCACCGTGGATGTCGATGCGGTTTTTCGCTCGTACAATTGACACGCGCTCGCTGAAATTACTTTCGGGGTATACGGATTGCGACTAAAATGTTTTGCCGGGCGCGTAGCGAAATCAAATATTTGTGAAAACATACGTACATGATGATAATAAACGTGTTGTTTCTTAAGTCGATGCTATTACTGGAAAGTGCCTCGCAATTATTATTTGTACTACAACGATCATGATCCAAATGTGCGGCCAGCGGGCGATCACGAGCTTTCGGTGTTTTTCCATTTCAATATCAATACTGTCCCAGTCGCAATTCGTCGAGTTCGATGCCATTGCTATGCTACACTAGTTGACGTAGCAAGCAGGCAGATACGGTCGACAGGTTGGCAGAGGCAACAGTCGAGAGGAAAACAACAGCCATCGGGCGATGATCTAACAGTCCCCGAAATGTGCCGTATGCCGAATGTCCGTCGTCCAATTGTGGAGCGAGAGACGGTCAAATTGATGGAAACTGCCTGCATCAGCGGCAGCTCAATTGGACGACGCGCTTTTATTTATTTCCCCGGCTTCGTACGCGCGGCCGACCTGAATAATGAAGACGCATTACCGCGCGAATCAATTTGAAGGCGCGCGCGGGTGCAGATGACTGTAATTGCCCTGCTCTCCGCTCAAATGATGATGGCGATGTCTGCAATTGCTTCTTCTTCTTGGAATGATTCTACCCGCATCTATTTGATGCCTTTTGGAGGGAATTCATATCTGGCGGTCCCTTTCATCTTGTTTTTATCTTTTATCCGTGCAGTTTCGTTTGTCAGGGACGTTTGCACGCTGAAATGGGCGCGCGCCAACGTCAATTCGCACTCCTTTTTTTCTTCGAGCCGATAACAGCGACGTAAATCGCACTAAAAGCAACGTGAATTCGATCTTCTTCTTTTCGAGAACTTGACATTTAATATAAATTTTTAGCATTTCGACATAAATAAAAAGTAAATCGGAAGAACGCAGAAATATGATACTATTACGAGCGAATGAGACTGCATTCACTAATATTACTTAAATATAGATACGAAGTTTAATGTTGGCTGTGAAAAATTAACGGGAACTAAAAATACAGTTCTGTACTACGATCACTAACAACAAGCTTTTTGTACTAGTCGAATCGGTTGAATGATAATATGAATAATTATTTCAGTAAAATTGAATAAATAGCTGAAATGGAGGATAATCAATAGCATTCATCTAAAGGAAATAGACAAGACCGACTTTGAACTTGAATAAAATGACCGTATATGAACAACAACAAATAACGTTAATCATTGCTTCTTACGTTTTTCAGAAGCGAAGAATAAAGAAATGTCGATGGAAGACATGGTGCCGCCTGACGGTCGCTGGGGATGGCTCGTGCTTATTGCGGCGATCACGGTGAATCTCCTCATTCCAGGCGGCATCAAATCGTTTGGCATTCTTTATCAGGAATTCCTGCTTATTTACAATGCCAATTCGACATCGGGTTCGTGGATTCCTGCGCTGTGCTACTTCCTTTACAGTTCATTGGGTAACGTCACTGTTTATCTTAATGACAATGAACCAATTTTACATAAACATTGTATACAGGGCCACTGTCAAGTATACTTTCGGTGAGGTATTCATATCGTACCGTCACCCTCATCGGCGGTACTTTCGCCGGAGTTGGAATGATGATTAGTTATTTTGCCACTTCGATAGAATATTTGTATGTGAGGTATGTATGAAGCATCAATATTGATGAGTTTCGTCCGTATTGGCTGTTATAAAACTTACATTTACTCGTCAATTTTCTTTGTCAGTTATGGAATTTTTGTGGGAATCGGTGCTGGTCTTGCTTTTCCCCCAACGGTTTACATTGTTACTTCATATTTCGTCCGACTGCGAGGATTAGCAAATGGTTTTTGCATTTCTGGCAGCGCCTTAGGATCAATTATTTTACCTCCAGTCATGGTTCAAATGATAAAAAGTTATGGAGTAAGGTACTTATATTTTCTTTCACTTTCCAATCGTTTAAAAATCATAATTCGAACAAATAATCTAATGCACTGATTTTAGAGTAACGATTCTGACAATGGGTGCACTGACGCTGAACGTATGGGCGTGCGCTTTGATCTACGAGCCGGTGGAAAAGCATCTGATTCCTTCGAAAAAACTCAAAGATGTAGCAACGGAGGAAGCACTGGAACCGTTAGCCGAGGCCGATGTTGACATTGCGGTAACAAGTCCCGAAGAAGAGAAACGTAATCCTCTATTGTCGCCGAGTAGCGATAATCAGTCGAGTAGCAATGGTGAGGCAAAAGGTGCGCCACCGATCGTCCCAAAAAGTGCATCGAGTGCGGCCTTGGAACATTACTACAAGCCAACGTCGCAGCCGCGTACGCGTAAAATTAGCATGCCAGTTGGTCCGCGCGATATGGCTGGTCAGATGCACAGTACACCAGCCTTACACGGAATACCCGAGAGGCGACGTCCACGACCACCGCCACTTTCGCCGAGTACGTCTTCGTTCAATTACATCAGCACGCCTTATCACGGAAGCACCTTGACGGCAATAAATCCCGAGTTTGCATCCACTTTAACGTTGAATGCCATCACATCAACGTTTCGGAAGTCGCCGGAGAAGCAGGCCAAAAGCGAAGATGAGCAAGAGAAACTAGCTAACAAATTCTTCGACTGCAGCTTGCTTAAGGATCCTATGTATTTAGTTATTCTGATTTCCAACTCGACTAATGCCATCAGTTACACTAATTTCGTAATCGTGCTCACTCTCTACGCCGCCGAGTTGGGCTTTACACAGAACGAAGGCTCTTTGCTGCTTTCAACAATCTCGCTTTTCGATCTGACTGGTAAGTTATTCCGACAATTTGTGAACAATATTTAAAATAATTCATGTCGTTATCGACCAAATACCTCCCGTTACCTCGGTTTAATCGTTCTTTCAATAATTGCTCTTCATTCAAATCCAATTTGAAAAATATTAAGTCCGCGTCTGATTATTGTTTATAGTTATAGTCTAGCATTCGCGTAGTCTAATGAAACAAACTGCTTAAAAGTTAGTTATTCGAGAGAATATGTGTTTTCAATTCTGCATTTCTTTCGTCACACAACTTTTCAATTTATATTTGCAGATACATTATACAATAATTGCAATCAAAGCTACAGACCTTTTGAAGAATAAAATTCTAATAAATATTTAAAATTTCAGGAAGAATCGGAGGAGCAGCAATGTCGGACACAAAGCTAATGCCGAAGCACTGGTACTTCGTGGGAGGTCTTTTCTTATCTGGCATATCATTGGCTATCCTACCTCTTGCCAAAAGTTTCTACATGTGTGCATTTTACTGCAGTTTATTCGGCATCTCATCGGGAGTCTACGTAGGGGTGACAGCAGTAGTAATGGCCGACATGTTAGGTGTGGAAAAGCTCACTTCGTCCTACGGAATATCGTTATTCGTTAATGGTGTACTTCAATTAATCGGACCACCGATTTGTGGTGCTATCGGCGATGCAATTGGTGGATGGGGTCCGATATTCACTGTCCTCGGTTTCATCCTCATCGCGGGATCTGGACTTTGGGGATTCGTGCCATTTATTAGAAAGCGTCAAGAAGCTGCGGCAAAAGCGAACGCACTTGGACAAGTTGAGGCGCCTGAAAAAATTTAGCACACTACGCTGAACTTAGCCATACAGTTGAATAACGGTGAAGTGTTGGCCATCGAGGAAGATACCGCTTGGCGACCCGCTGGCGATGACAAGGACATCGAAATGGGCGAACGCACCATCTCAATATACCACGTCAACGTTTAATGATGGGAAGAACGAAGTGTGATGTAATAACATGTACGAACGATGTGTTTCGTTTTTTGCTACGTTATATGGGGTGAGCTGCGTGTGATAATGAATCTTCTTTTTCTACCGTCTGTGTTAATAATGTTTCTATAACGCTGTGTGAGCTTGCGTGCTTACGAGACTATTTTACTACTTGACGTTAGATAGTGAATCATTTAGAATTAAATATATATATATATATATGATGAAATTGACGTCCTTCCTATAGAAGAGAATATTGAGAGCGAAATGTCATTTGTATAAACTCGTGCGGTAAGGACGTTTCGGTTACCACTTGTTTGCGTACATATGCATCTCAGCAAGCAGGCAGAAACAAAAGTAGGTCAATAATTTTTTTCGACAAAACTTACTAGTTTTTAGATTGATTTTTACATTTTTATGAGTGATAGAAAAAGAATTATGCCCTTATAAGAAAGTATCTTGTAGAAAAAAAAGTTTAAAATGGCTATATTTTTGATTCTGCAGATACTGTAATTTTAAAAGAGAATATATAGTGCTTTCCATTTATTCATAATGTTAATTATTATATTATTGTTAGGAATTCATTAGTGACAGTCGGCATTTTTTTAAATATTATTTTGACACCAGCAATGGAACCTTTTTGAGTATATACATTCAGATTAAGTTTTTCTCTGTCTTGATTATTGTTGATTTTTAAATGTGTACTATTACGTTTTATTTTTATTTTTAAGTAGACCATAAAGTTTTTGCACTCGAAAAATAAAAACTGCAACGTTGTAATAATTTTATTTGTACCATTTATTAATATTTTTCATAGGAAAAAGATCGAGGTTTAAGATTTTATTTTTTAACAATTATCACTAATTATGATGAGATTGATTACGAGCGTAATATGGCATTTAATGGTCACTAAACAATAGTAACATAAACAAAAAATCTACAAACTGTGCTGATCATATCAAAGTTTTGCCAACTAATATGAGTAAATTGATAAAATAAAATTAATAGATATTTTTTATATATTCTTGTAGATTTTTTACCATGTTTGCTTATGCTTTCCGACGTCACTGCCACGTATTCTTAGTCAAAGTAAATAATATGTAACGTGTAAGAACATACATATACATGAATAATTTTCGCCAGTGTTATTAAACATACATACTAAAAATAACTTAAGTAATTTTTTTTTTAAATTCAAAGGTGTAAATAGCTTAAACAACTTTAGTAACGAAAGTATAATAATCATATAAAGGAATTCTTAATGTTTTTATTTTTTCAATGATAATTTTTCTTCACCGTAGATAACTATCTAATTACGCAGTCTGTCTTCAATTGTATTTTCTTCTAATAAATACTACTAAGGATATTACCTTGGACAAAGAAAATATACTAAATAAAAATTCGCAATTTAAAACGTTTAAATACTAAATGTCACTTCATGTGAAGCACAGATGTCGAATTAAGGTTTTTGAATTTTCTTTAACTGTGACTTTGTTTTATTCTCTACGCCAAAGAACAAGCGCAATTGATAACGCTATTTTTATTTTATCAAAACTACAAACATTGAAGTTTTTACACTACAATTAATAATGCTTAATTCTCAAGCAGAGTTTTGTAAATAAATAGTTATATGTTTACAAACACGAGAATTTAAAGATGAAGATTTATTAGAAAAGCATTTTTGTAATCTTCTACTATTAGTTTTAAGCAACGGGTTTGGTTATTTTGTGTAAAAAACTATGACGTCGAATAAGTTGTAGCAAACGAACCTTAAGAACTATTAATTATCAACTTTATAAAAAATGATAAACATATACTCGTGTCTCTTCATCGTTTTATGCTCAAATTCGAACGCGTTGATGCCCTTTTTACAGAGCTATTGAAAGAAAAAAACTGTCTTGCCTTATACATGAATATTATACAAACTTCTTACAAAGGTATTTTAAATAATTGAATAAAACGATCGCGATAACAACTTGCACAATATTTTGACTGCATACACAAGAAAGTACTTATAGATGTATTAAAATAATGTATATAAATATACATAGTACAATCATAAAAGATTAAATTTTACTATATATATCTAACATCGTATTAATCTTGTAAATAAATGTATGTATTCGTAATGCGATATAAGATGTATAAAAGTAGAACCGCGAACACCACAGCCCTATTATACATAGATATATAAGTTTGAAGAGGTAAAGTAAAATTTGGCTATCGCGTCGTATATAGTATTATGTATCTACCGTGTACATTTGAAACGAAAATGAAAGTGTGCCGAAATAAAAGAGCCAAATAGTGTTGCAAACGAAAGGGAGTCGTGCGCTCGACTTTGACATCTTTTTTGTGAATAAAAAATTATATTCTGAAAAATGAATTCTTGTTTTATTTCACAAATACTCTAATTTTCTCAATATTATAACGGAAACCGACAAAAATATTTTTTTAAATACAATGACCTACAAAAATAAACTTTGAAGTTTTTTTTCGGTAAAAATAGTTTGGTAATGAAAAAAAGCAATATACTTTTCCCTCGAGGCTTGTTCTGCCTATGGGCGCGCTTAGAGCGTGTAAGTCCATTAACTAAATCGCGTCGTGCGGAGCAAGAGCGAGCGAGAAAGAGCAAGAGTAAGCGCGTAAGACGACGGCAAGAAGGCCGTAGCGCGCTTGCGGACGGGTCGTCGGCACATGCTACAGTCGAATCACGCGTCAACACGATAGAGGTCCAAATTTACCGAGAAAATGCTGTTCCGATCATTTTACGCTGCGATGCAAATTTGAACCTTATATTTATTTATTTGCCGTTTGCTTTTTATTAAAGAGATCTATTGACAATTCATAAAAATGTTTTGCCAAATCGTCTTTTACTACTGGATAGACAATTTTTCATATACCTAGATTATTTGACCGTGTTAGCAGACACTCAAGTTCACGAATTTTCATTAAAAACTATATCTTGAATTCTCAGTAATGCTACGTTAAATTGTTCAATACATTTTATCGCTCCGAGCAAAAGCATTTCTTGCTGCTGAATCGACAAATTGACATTGATAATCGATTCGTACTACTTACTCCGAAATAAACAAAATAAAGACACAAAAAAAGAATTTAGCGTTAAACGATCTGATCATAATAAATGTAAATCAGTATTAGTCTCGGCATGAGTCTAACATCAGATGTATGTTGGATGTATGTAAGTTGCCGGCAGCGCAGCTGGTGGGGGTCTGCGCGATGCATACTTACAAGTCGCGGCGGAGGAGTCAAGAGAAAAGCGGTGCCGAGCGTTTTTGATGATGTGGAGTCTGGAGAGTCGAAACTGCCTTGACGACTGATAGTCCACATTTTTTCCCCCTCTCAGTACTTAATATCGGGATTTTGCGTAATAGTTACTCGTTGGTTTTAAAAAGATAACATTTTCAAGAGGAAGATGAGGCAAATTATCCTGCAAGTGTTGCTCGCCAGCCTCACCATCGCCACAGCTATTCCCAAGTCGGATGAGTTGCCAAATGAACGAGTTATTGATAAGGTAAATAAATATTAATCATTTTCTTTTTCATTTGTATTTATAATTTACTTATTGTTGCGATAGTCTGTGCCGGAAACCGGTTGTGTATATATTAAATCAACAATCCTTTGTTTTTGAAATATTTTTAGAGACAAATTGTTACTGTTTCCTTAATGCAAGTTTATCGTTTTAAAGTGCACATTAGTCACGAAAATTTCTTTTGCCATTTTATTTCAATCGTTCATAACCTGTGCTTGAATTTGATTACTAATTTTATTTTTAACTAACATTGTATAACTTTGAAAAGTCAACTTTCATATGTATATAAACTCTCATATGAAATAAAAAATGTGCATCACATTGCTTAAAATAATTATTTTATAATGATTAAAATTGAATTTTTCAGGAATTAAGTGATCAAGAACATTTCATCAATTCTCATCATAATCCAGCTTATGATCATGATGCATTTCTAGGAGAGGAAGCCAAAACTTTTGAACAATTGACTCCTGAGGAGAGTAGCAGGAGATTAGGTTTAATTGTAGATAAAATAGACAAGGATAAGGATGGGTTTGTTACACAAGAAGAATTGAAGGATTGGATAAAACACACACAGCAGCGTTATATTCGGGATGATGTTGAAAGACAATGGAGGTCGCATAATCCAGATGATAAAGAGAAGATTAGTTGGGACGAGTACCGCCGCATGATATATGGCTTTCTTGATGATAAAGATTCTGAAACCATAGATAAAAAAGATGAGAATTACTCTTATGCTACTATGCAGAAAAGAGAAAGGCGGCGCTGGTCTATAGCTGACCAGGATGGAGATGATGCTCTAACAAAAGATGAGTTCTATGGATTTTTGCATCCTGAAGAAGTAGATCATATGAAAGATGTTGTAGTTATTGAATCAATAGAAGATATTGATAAGGATGGAGATGGAAAAATTTCTCTTACAGAATATATTGGTAAGTAGGGATAATTCAAATTTCATTTTTCATTTTCATGTGATAATGGAATGCCTTTTGATTATTTTTATTTATTCATGGTAAAAATATTTTGCAAAAATATTTTTTGAATTGTAGGTGATATGTATCATGCTGAGGAAGGATCAGAAGAGCCTGAATGGGTGAAAAATGAGCAAGAACAGTTTTTGTCTCATCGTGACAAAAATGGAGATGGTTTCATGGACAATGCAGAAGTAATTAAGATTTTATTTAGATTTATCAAATAATTTGAAGTCAGAAATTAATGTGGAATCTTTTTAGGTGAAACATTGGATTCTTCCTGAAGACTTTGATCATGCTGAAGCAGAAGCACGTCATCTGATCTATGAAGCTGACTCTGATGCGGACCAAAAATTAACAAAAGAAGAAATTTTAGAGAAATATGATATTTTTGTAGGATCCCAAGCAACAGACTTTGGAGAAGCACTTACAAGACATGATGAATTTTAAAAATGTTTTTTTATAGCAGATGCATTTATTAAAGATATGAAAAATTTAGATAATTACAAATACATTATAAAAGATGGAGCTCTCTATTTTTAAAATTTTATTTTGAGATTTTAAATTAGTATTTTGCATGTGTCATCTAAAGATAGTGCATTAATTCATTATCATATATATATTTAAATAATTCTATGATCTGTTAATACCTTTTAAACTAGCAGTATTTAATGAATACTGCTATATAAAACTCACAAATTCTTATTGAAAATATTTTCAAGTCCCATATTTATACTTTACAAATAATAGGCCAAATACTGTGCAAATAAACGAAAAATAAAAGTTTTAATTTTTAATTCTATAAATCTTGAAATTTATTATGACTAATTCATCAATATATATTTTTATAGCATAGATATCTTATCAGTTATTGATAGTATCAGATAATATCTGTCTTCAGACCATCAACTATAACATTTTTGTTTCATACGTGAAATTATTAAATTTAGTATAATTAAAATGAATTCATCCATAGTGAATCTCATCATAATTTTTGCAAGTAGTGCTTTAGGTAACTGATTGTTTATAAAATAACAAAATAAACTTACTATTATTTATTACTCATTTATAATCATTTATTACTTTTCTCTTCCAAAGGTATACAAATTTTAAATGATAAAATCACAAAGTATTGCTTTAACTTTACATGGCCTGGGTCATTAATTAATTATGAAGATAAAATTAATTGTACAGCTTTAGAACAGATGAAAATACCTTGTGTTCAACGGCTCAAAAGTATATCCTCTCTATATATTAATGACAACAGAACCTGAAAAATATACTGTTCTCATGATTGATTTGCATATTCAATTTAGTCACTGAATCGCTACCTAATCTTACGGAAATATGGATGAATGAAAGGAACGATTACACATGTATTCTAACAAAAGGATACAGTTGCATAAAATACACATACAGTTTTGATGAAGCTGGTAAGAATCTTCATTTTTCTAGAATAACGTTATACTACCAAATATATGATTTTTCAAATTATATTTAATTTACATTATTTTTATTAAATACATTTAGCCATCAATGTTACATATTTTTGTGGAAAAATGGTAAAAAATAAGGCAACTGCCATTCAAGATGGATGTTTCAGTCAGAAAGTAAGTTGATTTATATTAATAAAAATATGTTTAGTTAAATTATATACTTATTACAATAAATAAACAATAAAACCTTTTCACTCAAACTTTCTTTATAAAAAAACTAATTTTAGATAGGAGGTTATAACATAGAAACTTGTGCATGTCAATCAACTGGTTTTGGAGATGGAAAGCCTTGTAACTCATCCACAAAACTTACTTATTCCTTTTTAGTTTTAATATCAATTTTACTGAGTATAATCTGACAATAATTTGTTTGTGATCAGTAAAATAAATGTATAAATTGATTTTATATCAAGTAAAGAATTTAAGGAAAAGCCAAATACTATTATATTCATAGAGTATATATTTATTTTTCAATTATTTCTTCCTGCTGTTTTTATAGATTATTTGTTAAAGCTGCCACCACACAACCATAATTCCATGCTCATCACTATAATAATAATGCTTTATGCTCCCTTCCCTCTATTTATGTCTTGCCCGGCGGGCGGCGTCGGCTTGCGTATTGTGCCCAATGTGCAGTTTTTTTATATAAAAAGTTATTCAGCTGAATATTTCATGGTATTTTTCTTAATGGAAAAGTAATTTAAAATCATTATTAGCAATTTTTCATTGAAGAAAAATCGTCATGGAAAATGATTATCATTCAACGGTGTATTCATGGTAAACAATTTCATTCTTTTTTTCAGTATTTTTCAACGATTATGAGAGATGAATAGTTGTAGATTTAGGTTATGTTGACTTGTGTTGACATTTTATACCATACTAAGAAATTAAAACAAATAATTTGTTTTAGGTTTGACAAAAGCGGAATTATTTCAAATATTCGAACACATCTTAGACACAACTTAGTAAATGCATTGAAAAACAAAGATTTAGTCCAAAAACTTGGCAATAATGCTCCAAAGTCAGCTAAGCAGTATGTTCATGATTTGCTAATAGCAGAATATTTGTGGAATCATAATTATGTTTATACATTATCAGTATTAACTAGTGAAGCGCCTCTTTTAGTCAATTTTAGTAAATATATGAAACCGGATAAAAATGAAGAAAATCCTAATGTTCAACAAAAATTACAAAATGATTATATTGTACATACACTCGAAACTCTAGGAATTAAACCTGATGAAAACAGAGGTAAAGATATTATAAAAGATTATTATGACAATGACATACCCCTACTCCTTTGCATACTACATAGTATAAAAAAAACAGATATTTCTACTGAAAGTAGTAGCCAAGCTCACATAAAACAGAAAAATGTAAAACATAAAAATGTGCAAACTAAAGAAAGTGGAGAATTTATATATCAAGAATTATCTAAAATTTCTTTAGCAAAAAAGAATTTAATATGCCAAAAAGGAGTATTTGATGCTCAGTTAAAGCAAAAGGAAATTGAATTAAAAGAGCAATCATCATATCTAGAAAAGCAACTTTTATTACTACAGTGTAAATTAGAACAAGCACAAGTAAAATTTGAAAACGTGAAATTTTTTTCAATTTCATATTGTAACTTAGTTATTCATTTATTTATATTTTTTACAGAAAATAATGCAGGCTTATGACATCAAAGAAAAACGTTTTGACAAGAGTAAAAGACAAGAAAATTTACGAATTATTGACAAAGAAAATGAGTTGATTAAAAAAGAGAAAATGCTTTCTGAAGAAGCAAATAGGTAAAAGATTCTTGTTTACTACATCACAAATAACATTTTTCTAAATTTATGTTAATAATTTATTATTTGTAAATTATTGTTGAAATTATATTTTAGATTGGAACAAGAAAAAACTAATCATAGACTATTTGAAGACAATTTTAAAAAATTGCAAAATGAACTTTCAAAAGTAAAAAGACTAAAACCTTTTGTGGAGCGTAATTGTAACTTGAGTATCAAAGATGCTCAATCACAGACTGACTTTGATAGTTTTTTACTAGATAGAAATGAAAGGAATTTTTTAAATCAAGAAAAACAAGATTTAAGTGGGCTTGTTCAGGAACAACAATCTAGGATAAAACAATTGAATGCTAGAGTTTTATATCTAACAAGAAAATTAGAAGAAATTCAATTAAAGTATTCCCCTCAATTTCAAGTACCTTCATCAGTCACGAAAGTTGTAAATGCAAACCCTATATTAAGTGAGAACAGTTCTACTGAAGATATTCTTCGAGATGCTAAATTGCGTCTCACGCGTTTGGAAAAAGAGAGTGAACGAGCTGAACAAAACTACCATAATTTTGTTAGAAACTCATCAAAATAATTATATGATTCTTAATTATAAATAAGAGAAACTGAAGAAACTGATAATTTATATTTATATATGTTGAAGACTGTCCAGTACAAATAAAATAAAAACTATGTTATGAATTCTTGGAAATATGTTTTATTATATAAAATTGGGCGTAAACGTAATATACAAATTGATCACTATTTTCATTTTTATTACTTGTTGGTTTCTAAGTTCATTACATACAACATTCAATCATAGCAATATAAAATGTAAGTCAAGCTGCATCCTCTTTACATCATCTTCGTTTTGGGTCAGAGCTTCTCCTAGTAATGACTAGTTAAGGAAAATATGTTACTTTTATTAAAATTCCTAAGAAATTTTTTCATGAAATGAATATTATAACAAAACAATTCAGTACTTATTTTATTAAACATATTTTTCAAGTTATGAAAATTAAACTACAAAATAGCTAAACTAAATAATAGCATTAAAAACAACTATAACTATAACTATAAATAATCTTTTATAATTTAAGCAGGTATTAAAGGATATTGTTTATCACGGGTTTCGCGTCCGTCCCGGTCATGAGTTCGGTCCTTTTGATACGGCGATTTTTCCTGAAATTATATAAGTTATTCATTGTAGAGCTTTTTTTGACTGTCAAACGAAAATTAATTATATATTTAAATATTTGTGTACGTAATAACGAGTACTTATGTAATAAGTATCGCCTAGATTCTTTCTCGTCATTTTTTTATTGCCTTCCAACTCGTATTTTCAGAGTGTTGAACGTTGAAGTTTTTGAGAACTAAAGTTTCAAGTAAAGATTTTGTTAGACAGATATTAAAAAACGCGTTGTAGATTATCCAAAAAATTTATAAAAAAGAAAAAATACATGTTAGCTTTTAGAAAATATGTGCTATAAAAGTGATGAAATGTTGTTCACAGTGCCATGAATATAGTTGTAGTAGTAATCGTTTACAAAGCGTAAATGTAGTGTTATGTCATGAGTTTATGACTATCCTCTGTGTGATGTGTAATTCGTATTTTGACAACTTAAATTTAGTTCATGTAAAGTTGGTGTAAAAAGTTTTCTGTTGAGAACTTAATTAATTTAAAAAAAAATTGAAATTAAAGTAATAATCAGTTTAGTTCAAACATAATGATTGGATTCAATTAAAGGGTAAAAAATTGAATATTTATAGATGTAGAAGAGGACTAAAAAATCAAGAGAAAATCGTGAGAAAGTAATCTAGGATGTTTCAGTGATCTTACGTAATAAAATTATAAAATTAAGCCTATAATTTTTCTCTTGGTTTTCTACAAACCTTAGTATAGTGATGTTTATCTCTATGTTCGCCAATATCTCCGTTTTGATGGGTACCTTTTGCTGAAAGGGAATAAACGTCACTTTGTAGGAATCTTAAATGTTACTGTATATTTAACCAAGCCACTCCAACTGAATTAAAAAATGTAAAAAGACAAGCATTTCATTAGAAATAACTAAAAAATCACAGTCACAATGAAAACGTGCAGCATAATATAAAAAATAATTGATTCTACCCCGACATTTTATAACGTAAAACTATTAAAAGAAAAACGCAATTTAGAAATCTTGAATCACGAACCCCGGTCTTCGTCTTTTCTTCTTTTCTGTTCTCCTGACGTTGATGGCTCATCGCCTCGGTCCTGAAAAAATTTAGATTGAACAATATTCATGAATGACCAGAAGTGAATTGCAAAAAAGATAATTACTCTCTTTCTGCCAAGTTTCTTTTCTCTTCGCAATTCCTTTTGTTCTTCTCGTGCTTTTGTTTTGGTTGAAGCGCGCTCCTTCTTTTCTATAACAGCTTCAGTACGCCTTGTTTCCTAAAACAATTTAGATTCAAATATTAAATTTCAATGTATACAATGAAAATTGAGTTTTGTAAAGTCTTGTAGAAGAAATAGTTGAGCAACATACCTTCGGAGGGTTTTCCATCTTCCTTCGTTTGGTATCTGAAAAAAGAATATTTATACATCATGTTGTATGGTTGAAAATATTTTGTGAATGTTGTCGTACCTCGATCAAGTCCATCTGCCATGGGACCTGAGCTTGTACTACTATTTGATACACTCGAAAGGTCACGATCAAAATTGTCAGTCGGTCCAGTATAGTAATGATCCTCCTGCAAAGTTGAAAGTTTTGTCAACATTCAATCAAGAGTGTGTAAGTAGTGGTGCACAATAAATCTAACCTTATAATACTTTTTATCTTTTTTGTCAGATTCCTCTTCTTTATAGTCATCTTTCTTCGAATATTTATCTCTAGACTCTGAAGCTTCTCTACTTTGCTCTCTTTTCCTCCCTTTATCGGAAGTTTCACTGCACAATAGACAATAGAATCGAATCAATTTGTTTTAACTGTAACAAAAAGTAACTTTGTGATTGCAAACTTACTGATGGGTTTGATTAGAAGCAGCAGCGCGTTTTTCACGCTGTTCTTTAATATCTTTTTCGGGACGGCTATCACCGTTATTAAGTTCTTTGGTAGATACCCCATTACTTAATTTTATTGAGTTGGCTGGTTCAGTTTCTGCATTCTCCTGTGCTTTAGCTTCTCCTCCCTAATAGTAAAATATTTAATAATGGTTGTAATTTCCTTCAGAGTAGATTAGACTGATAAATGAGTAGTACTATAAACCTTATTTGCAACTTGGTGGAAATCAGATTCACGAATCATGTGTGGAGCTCTGGCCTTCAGCTGTCCACAATAAGAAGTAGCCAAAACGTGAAGATCTTGTCTTTTATTGCGTTCTTCGTCACGTACTTTTTCAACTTTACGTTCAAGGATTTGCGAAAGTTTGGCCAGAACAGGGAAGTGAGGCAGAATTTTAATTAATATAATCAAAGAATTTCGTATTTGTACGTAATCTTTGGAGTCAAGACAAACTACTATTGCCTAAAAATAAACAAAAAATAGTTTCAAAAATTACATTTTTACATGTTTCCTAGAATATTTTTTAAAGTACTTTTTAATGCACCTACTTTTGTAATTTTATAATGCCATTTGTGACAGACGTGTCGGTAGTTTTCAAATCCGACCATGTCGCTGGCTTCAGAACATTGATTACTAACTCGGAATTTGGTGACAAAACCAGGATAATTACTACACTCTTTGTCAAAGATAGCTTTTTCCGAGTGCCATCTCATTACAGTTTCAAGCATGGCACATAAAAATCTGCCATAACGGTGTGCTTCATTCTCGGTACACGATGTTACAGAGTAAGTAATATCACAGAAAAGCTTAAAAATCATGAAAAATATTGTAAGACTCCATCACTTTTGATCTGGATATTTTTCAGTGACTAATAATACTTACTCTGTCATAGCATAGAAGAGTGGAAAAATTGGCTGTCTTTAAAGAGTGGATTGTATGTACAAATTTGGCGCAGTACATAGAATCAACTGTGGTAAAAGTACATCGTGGAAACAAGCATAGTTGGAGAAACTGTGTGATAGTTTCGTTCTTTGCAGATTTGGCACTTCTTGATAAAAACCAAGTATCCTTTTCCTGCCTGAGATAGGCATGAACTTTTTCTACATGTTCTTCTTGCTTTTTCTTCTCATCTTGTAATTTGTCTATCAGCGTCTGATACCTTTCTTGTTCCTTTTTACCTTTGCTTGCAGTCTATCCAAAATATAGTTAGACGAGTCACTAAAATTTATTTTTAATAATAGTTTTAAAAAACTTTGAATAGTTTACCAAATCTTTGGAGTCAGCAGCTTGTGCAGCGAGTTGTTTTAATTTGTTAACTTCGCGTTGATAACTTTCAGTAGGTACATATAAGTCGTACATCGATAGTGACCAGAATGTCACTAAAAATTGTGGGGAAATGTCCTCCCAAACTTTAAGAGATTGTAAAGGTCGTACTGATGAAGCAATAGGTGCCATAACTGCTTGAGCTGCTTCTGCATACTTAGCTTGCTTTGTCGCCGACGACATTTTCTTATAATTTGGATCCGCTTTTCGAAGCGAGTCATATTTTATCTATAAAAAACGAGGAAACGTTAATAAAGAAAATTCATTAGGAAGTTTTTGAAATACTTGATAAGTATTTACGTTTATAGCATGAGAAAACATTGGTCTTGCCAAGAAAAAGGCAACATCCGAGTGAATATGGTAATCTTGCAACATGGAATGAATAGATGGTAATCGCTCAACATATTCATCGACTGTCATAGTCTGACCTAAGAATGTACCAAATTGTACTAAAGCGTCATGGCATTGATCATATAGCTTTCCTGAAAATTGATTTATGATTTATATAAAATGTTGACTAAAGTTTGACATACGTTTTGTAATAAAAAAACAATATTGTACTCGCCTACTAATTTTAAGTGAGACTGTTCTGTTTCTCGGTAAACTACGCAATGTTTTTGCTGAGCCATTAGAAGACAAAGTGCTACCGCGAGATTATGCTCAGATAAAGCTTCTTTCAACCTTTGTGATGATTTTTTGGTATTTCGTACTTGACTAAAATATCCAGCCTAAAATAACATTATCATTTTCAATAAAGCACACATACTATATGATTGTTTTATTGATTCTTAAGGAAAAATGTATTTACCTCGATTCTTAAAAGATCGCCACCAGCCATAGCATCTAACTGATCAGCTGTCAATTCTTCTGATGCTTCAATGCCAGCCATTTTTTGTACAATTTCTTTTAAAATCAAAAGATCCAAACTAAAAAAATAAAGTGAATAAGAAGACAATAACAATCAATTATTTTCTGACAATGTCACTCTCGATGTCCTGTATTTATTTTATAAGGAACACTACACGGCATTTTATAAAGTTCTATTTTTCATGCCACATCAAATATTTTTACCAATACTTTTTCAAGCTTACGACTTTGAAAAATTATTTAAAAATATACAACATTGTAAAAATATCAAAATTTTTTATTTATTAGCTTAAGCAATCAAATATAATTCCATAATATTATTTGAAATGAGTAAAATTTTAAAAACAATATAAAATATTTTAATTGCTTTTATAAATCTACGTAATCAATTTTTTTTCACAAAAGTGATACATTACGTTTCATTTTCAATTTACAATGTGTAAGTTGAGAAAGTTACAAAAACACCTGTTTAATCGTCAATTAATTTCGTCAACAGTACAAATGTTCTAATGTTGACTCCATTAACGAAAACTCGCATTATCCAAGGCTCTCATTTTTTTATTAGCCTGTCTATCGCTAAAAATTATCAGGTACTACTTTTAAAACCATCGAAAAGATTCTTAATTATCATTATTATCACTCTTTAAAATTAATATAACTGAAAATGCCAATATCGTTTAGAACATTTAAATAAGATTTTTAAACTTTGACAGCAAGCAGTATGAATTCTCATCTTCAATAATGATTTTCTGATAAAATTAGAAAGTTAGAGAATTATGTATATTTTAATATTGTAATTAAATTAATAATGTCCGATTTTTTATAAACACGTAAATTGAACTTATCGAACTTGATATCGCAATAATGATGTTATGAAATAGTTAAATGAAATCAATTTCTTATGTAGTCCGATACATCGATCTGTATATTCTCTTGGTGTGTATTACATCGAAAAATTTACGAAGAATAAGTGTGAAAAAAATAAAAAATTGTTTGAGACTTCCATTCATAACAAATTGTGAATACCTCTTAAAAAGTAACATTGCTATGTAATTTCACGTACAAGAAAATTTTATTAAATGAAAGTATATCAAATGACGATTGATTGCCTGACTGACAGTTCCATGTTTTCGATCGACATCACTGATCTGCAATCTTCCGCAAAGCATTGAATAGACACAACTATGCAATTATAATGATTAGAATACCTACGATATATGTGTTCAATTTCAGTTATGTTAGTTATATAATATTTTTTGTCTACTTTTAAGGCAAAATTTTGCGATTCTTTCAATAATACAAATTTCTTACCGATTCAAGAATAAAATTAAAATAAAACAAAAAATTTCAAAAATAAAGTGACTTACCTCTTTTGTGCTTTCAACATATTGGCCACGTACTGTAGTAATCCAGTCAATTCAATATTGTATTTCTTAAAAATAGCTCCACAAAAAGAAGCAAGTGATTGTAGCCAAAGTGATATACTCGTTCCATCGTGTTTGAAACGATTTCTTTCAGCTCCTGCTAACGCTTCAATTAGACAGTATCCCAAAACATCGTACGATACGTTTGTTAAATATTTCATAGAATCAACTACTGGACCTGAAAGAAAGAAATACAAATAATTTAAAAACGAATCAATTAATAAATATTCAAATTTTTGCGAACATAAATTACCAATTAAGTTATCGTAAAGCTGAATTTGAACAATGACGTAGTCAAAAAGTATTCCTGGCGATGAATGCGTCAATTTCCCTATGGATCTACCGACAGGCTTGATAGTTTCTTTGCTGACCCTTTTTATCACGTTCTTAATTTTCTTTTGTGCATCGGCACGTTTCTTTAGCAAAGCAGCATGCTGATTTGGTGTATCGTTCTTCCACCTTGCGTAAAGTGCATACCGGTTTTGGTAAGGATAATACTTGAGGATGTTCCAAATTTCTTCAGCTACACAGCAGTTACAGTCCATAAAGGATAACGATGGAAGGAGAGCAACGTCTAAGATAGTTAAGACATCGCAATAAAGCGTTGCATCTTTACTAACGGGAAGCTTATTGGCATCCAAACTACATTGTTTTATCGCACTATGACATAATCGCATTATTTTGTACATTAACACAGGATCATAATGTAGATTAGGACCTAGTGCTATCAACATCGGTACTAGACGGTCATGTATGTCTCCTAATTGATTTAATGCTTTGGGTGCTAAGGGACTTGTTAGAGGGGGGATCTTTCGTCCTGGCAACCTGGGCGATATTATGCAATGTCTAAAACAGGTGAGTATTGGTATTTCAATTAAAAAAAATAAAATATTTTGTATGATGAATAATTTAAAGAAAAACTCACTTTCTGTATACTGGCTCAACAAGGGCATGAATGATTCTGCAAAGTGCCAATGCTATTGGCTTTTGATCAGTTAAAGAAAAATCAGGAAAGCGAGAGAATAGAGATGAAGCAACGTCCCATGCTCCGACTTCCAAAAGAGCCTCGCACAGCCCGAATTTCTGGTTACCTGAGTACTTATCCTGCAGATTCATAAGTTAATATTGTTACAATCGTTACCAACAAAATGAAAAAAAAACCGCACAAAGATAAAATTTACCACAACTGTTTCTTTCTCTTCCTTTTCCTCTTCTTTATCTTTTGTCGAAATTACATTCATCTTTCTGACATATTCCTTTGCTAGTTTCATCTCATTATCATAATCTCTGATAATAATCTTATCATCAGGAACAAGCCAAGGTAATATATCATCTAGACTAATAACTTCATGCTGTAGCATTAATGCAGTGACTTTTTGCAAAGAAAAGGGGGTGGCATTAACTGCACAACAATACTTAAAACCTAATACTTCACATAAAACTTGTCTATCACTCATGTAAGATCGAATTAGAGGTATAAACACTGCAGCATTGTGCGGTCTATTTTCAAAAACTTCAAGTAATATATCAAGAACTCGGTTTGGATCAAGGTTAAAATATCCTAAAAAAAATTCACTGGATTAACTATATAAAAAATATATATCTATTTTTTATGTTATGATCACTATCACAGTATAATTTAATTAATATACATGAAATCAAGCGATTGAAGAGTAATTACAGATAAAAAACGTAAAAATTTACCAATAAGAGATTTGACTATTTCTAAAACTGATTCTACTTCTGTTTCTGAGCGTTCCTGACTTAATTCTACAATTAACTTAGAATAACCTTCACTTTCTTCTCTAAAAAGATTGAATTTTTTCTGTTTGTAACTGGAATAAGAAATCAACAGTACAATCAATAATAGTACAATGCAGTAAATAAACCATAGTAATGATGAAATAATTAGTGCATACTAAAGTTTTGTTTTCACTTTGATAAACTTAGTTTGAAAGTTTAAATTTCTTAATGTTCCCACTTCTTGTAGAGTATCAATATCAAGACGTTCTTTTAATAGTCTATCTGTAAGAAACTATAAACAAAATAACAAATCAATAACCTTGTTATTTTAACACTACTTGGCATCTATATAAACAATAGCACATACCTTTTCGCATTCTTTTACAATGTAGTAAAAATTACTTCTATTTTCACCTTGGACTTCTGCATCAACAAATGTAAAGAGATCCACAATAGCAGAAGGTATTGATCCATCTATAGTCTACAAGACATATAAGATAAATGACAATTAAAGTAATACAGTATCAGTTTTAAATCACATTGCTCACTGAACATGTAAGTATAAATAATTTGAAGTTATTTCTTGAATTTTTACAAATAAACTTACCACAAGTTCACCTAAAGTTGTAACTACATTATCCCTTTTCACAGTTCCATGGATCCCACTCAAGATCAGTTCGTATAATCCACGTCTCCATTCTGAAAAAAAAATTGTTTATTGCAACAATTAGTTAACTGCAATGTTTAAATAACAAAAGTATTGATTGCAACAATAATGTACCTGCAGGTTCTCCTTCCTTGTGTTTCAGTTTGATTATTTTGATGCTGCGAACAGTTGTTAATTTACATATTAGGCCTTGGGTAATAAGGATTGAAACATTTGAGAGAAACTTTAAAATCTGTAGTGTAGCGCGTCTTTCTAACACATAATAAACGCGGTGTAAGGTTTGACTATAGACTAAAACTTATGAGACCGCAATAGAACAAAATCGTTGTCTTCATAGATAACAAAACACGCGTCTTCCGTCGAAGTGTGTAGTTTTAACTTCTCGCTCATTCTTTCTTTCTCCGGTCGTAGCTTCCCCTCTTTTTATCCGTGTGCACTTACAATTCATTTTTTCCTTGTTTATCCCAACTCTTCCACAACTCGGGACTCCACGTTTTCGCTGGCATCTTTACAATACTATCATGTATACAATACACGCGTGCTTATTCAACCCCACAAGACTTTATTCTTTCTCTATCTAAAGTTATTTAATTGATTTTATTGAAATAAAACTTCCTTTAAAAATCGCTTACGGCTTAAACAGACTCCATTTTCGATAGTCTTCTCTCGACGCAACGCCGCCAGCTCAAGCACGCACGCACACATTTACGCCGTGTTAGTGTGTTCTCAAACTCATCATTTTAAGATGTTGGACAAGTTTACATATTGATTTTTATTTATTCAATTTTCATTAATGAATAAGTTCATTGAAGCTATCGTAATTGGTACTGTTACGTTATATTTTTATCAATAACATTATTTTTACCCTGAAAGATTCGAAACAATAAAAAATTAATTTTTGAAAAATATTTATATCAATATTGATTTGCATTTAAAAGTTGTTGTTACTTGCATTGTAAAAACAATTGTTAAAAATTTTATTCAAATTAGTTTTTCTTGTAAAATTATTGAAAATAGTGAGATAAACAACTTTTCTTCGTAATTGTCATTTAGATTGTAAACGTGACCTAAATTGCTCAAATTCATCGTTTTGAGAACGGCAATAAGTTCTTTTGTGTAAATCCAGTAAATTCGGAGAGGTAACCAAATTTTCGTGTTTTCAAATCCCTTTTCATCTTTATTAAATTCATGCTTAAATAATAAAGCACACATCAACAAGTTTGGTAACGTTCGCCTAAACGTTGTTACTGAAATATTTTTGTAAGAAGTCTTTATGTTTCGTCAATGTAATCTCGTGTGTTAGGTTAAATGTTTACATATTTAATCGATTATTCCAAAATTATTGTTAAAATGATTTTATCATTCAACGTAAATAGAGTGTAGTGAAAATGATACGTTATGAATATTGCCTGCAACTGTAGATTAAAATCATTAATTTTCATATAGCGTTCAGGTTATACCGCTTGTTGACACTGACTGTTCTATAATGTCTCTGAACTTTACCATTGATATTTTTTGTTAAATGACGTATCTGCGTACACGTAATTGTTTCTAAATAAACTTTATAATATTCGTTTTAGGCATAATGACTCGAGCAAAGACTGGTGAAAAAAAAGGTCCCCGTATCGATGATGTCGTTACCCGTGAATACACAGTAAACCTGCACAAAAGGTTGCACGGTGTAGGTTTTAAGAAACGTGCTCCAAGAGCCATTAAAGAAATCAGAAAGTTTGCAGAAAAGCAAATGGGTACTCCTGATGTCAGGATTGACACTCGTCTGAACAAACAGCTCTGGTCCAAGGGAATCAGGTAAACATTACTCAATACCTGCTATTAGACAAGTTTTGACTTTTGATTGATAATTAAGAAGTGTGATATCAAAAAATTCACAAATGCATATCTTATTTCAAATACATTTGTTTTCATAAGTAAGAAAATGTCATTCTATTTGCCAATAAACAGTAGAATGTATTTAATAATAATGCAAGGTGGGTTTCCAATTTAGTTTGATAGTTTGCAAAAGAATTTAGTAAAGATAATAAGACAATATTAAATATTCAGTAGAGAGCTTTCCATAGAGTATAATTTTGATTATTATAAAATCTATTTTATTCAGCTTAAGTGTATTCGCTTTTATCCCTAAAATCTTGGATGGATTTTATCATCTAATTTTGCAGCTAATGTTCTTCTGTAAGATTGTGTATGCTCGTAGTATATATTTTTTTAACATACAGTAGTGTGAATAAGAAAAACATATCAGATTTAAAAAAGAATTTTCAATTTTATCAGTCAGTGAACAATAAAATATATGAATTTTTAGGAACGTTCCATTCCGTGTCCGTGTCCGTCTAAGCAGAAGGAGGAATGACGATGAAGACTCGGTACACAAACTTTACACCCTTGTCACATACATCCCAGTTGCCACCTTCAAGGGATTACAGACAGAGAATGTGGATGCGAGTCAGGATTAATTTATTACCATGAGAGTATAATAAATAATTTTGGCTAAATGTTTGTCTTTTTATTTAAATATACTTATACTTAACTAAATTCAAATTTGTTTCTCATTTTTACCAAATCGACATTCTCTACATTCTCTAAATACCCTTCAGCCTTTAAATTTATTAACACTAAAAATAATTTAATATGACCTATATAATGCAATGAAATAAGGTAATTATTGCATGGAAATAATTAAGAGAATTAATATTTTTTAACAGGCAGGTTTTTTTAAAACCGTTTTATCATGTAAATTAATTAAATTTTTTTCTTGTACAGATTAAATTTTGGCAATTGATTAAAATTTTCGTAAGCACAGTGTGCTTTAGATATGAATTTTCGTAAAAGTGAGAATAATTTTAAAAATCGTTATAATCAAAACAATTCTGTTGTTTCACTGGAATTGCTTACATATAATTTTGCGAAAGGGTCATCCAGTAGGGAGTTCGCTAATCTCGAAATCAAGCACACACACACACTGATACGCACACCTCTCACGTGGTAATTCCGAGCGACTGCCCAAGCTTTTCTCTCTCTTTCCCTCAGCAAACTTGTCTGTCCTGTTCTTTTCGTAGCGCGCCGCGATACCCCCTGTTGCTAAACTGATTACGGGCGGCTCTTGGCTAATGAAATTACGCGCTCACAATCATCTAATGTCGCGTGGATCCTCGCGACACTGCCTCGGCTTTATTAGGATTTATATGCGCAATCGAGTCTCGTCAATGTTGCATTTTCCCACACACGCGCGCAACGCCCTGCACCGAGAATTTCCTTATGTCTCGGAACGTTTTAAGTGCTTTTTATTATGGCTCTTGGAACGAGCTTAACCCAAATGCGCTACTGCACGCGCTGACGTAATTAAGATAATTGCCATTTGAAAATTACATTCGCCTGGTGCTCGTGTACGCGAAATCCGCCTGTGTTTGTTAGTAATAATTAGTGTTTCATTTTTAATTAATTGATTAAGTCGTGCGATGCGTTCGTTGCAAGAGGAAAACATCGAATGTATCAATTGATTGATCGACCGTGACGGCCGAATAATTTAAGAACGTTAATTAATTCGTAACTGTCCGGTTCGGTCACTGTGCAAACGATTTCCTAATATAAAAAAGATAGCATGATTGTTAGTTAATCGTCAAAATTTATCACAATGATTCATCTGACCATTTCGAACGAAATTATGAGATATATTGTAACTATATGAGCGTATCAAGAATGCAGTCGTGGGAAAATGGACACGACGAGAATTCGGCGTATAGGCCGTGGGTGCCCGGTGGCAATGATTTGTAGATGTGCAGCACTTGCGCGCATGGGACAGACATAGGCAGCGCGGTTCAGCGGTCTTCGCACGTGCGTTCAATTTCGCCGTAGCGCGCGCGCATCCCTCTGGAGAGCATTACACAGCGGCGCGAAGGCTTCTTCTGGCGTGCGCCCGATATTTTAATATCGGTGACCTGGCAGTTGCGCGCCGGTCGCTCTCCCTCGCGACAAATCAAGGACATCTGCAGCAGCGCAGTGCGCGTCAAGGGACCGCGGCGACAAGTGAATAGGCGCATTACGCTGTACTTCTCTTGTCTTTTTTCATTGTGGGAATATCGGAGCTTCTCGCTCTTCCCGTTTCGCACTGTGACTCGCGGCACGGGGGCTGTTATTCAAATCGAAAATCATATAGATCGCCGCGCGGCTATTGGAAATCCATTGAATGTACTCGCGCGCACCACCATAAATCGCCTACAATGGAAGCACATCCATTTCAATTTCAATTTCAATCTTTTTTTTTATTTGCAAGCAGTCCGTTCCCTGCGCGTGATTTCCAAAGTCTAACAATGATTTCGTTGACCTCACCCTCTCCTAAGGCAGCAGGGTCGTGTCGCAACGACGGCTTAGTTGGCGTTCGATGTAGCGCGCGCGCTCGTCTCCGGCGTGTCAATCGGCGCGCTCATTAAATTAAATAAGAGAGAAAAATCCACTCGGGCCGTTCGTCCGCGGCACAGCCTTAGCAAGTCCGCAGCAACGGCCGGAGTGCAGCGCGATAACGATCAGCGGCACCGGAAGGGCGTGCTCACCCTCCGCTCCCACGTGTCGGTGAAACCCAATCAAGTCCGTTCGAAAATCTGCGCTCCTCGCGCTCGCTTGCTTATCCTCGGCGACGGGACCGTTGATCCGCCGGTAATCGCCTTTTCCGCGGCTCGTCTTTCCACTAATGCTCAACCCCTTCGCCTGCCGCGCGCTCCGCTCCAACTTGGCTGCTAACGAGCGCTACATATGTCGGCGCCGTCTGTTACTACCGCGCTCTCTTTCTCCGCATTCAATTGTGCCGTGAGCTTTGCGCACGGACGCGCAGGGACGCGCCGACCAACCTCGCCTCTGACTACGCGATCAACGCACTGCCAGCATTGTCGTTCTGGCGAATGATCGATCAACGGCTCGTCGCGCCGATTCGCGCACCAGATACGAGCACTCCGGCGCCGGGGAAATTGTCGGTGTGCGAAGAGAAAGAAGCGAGGGCAAAGGTGGAGCTGATTAGCGCTGTGTTCGCGGGCGGCGCGCGCCTCCAGGGAACCGACGTCGCTCCCGCGCGCGCACAACGCACTCGACGTGGCGGATCGGCCACGTGCGATCCGCGATATTCCCCGCGGAGAGGACGGCGCGCGCGCGTGAGAACAAGTGCGGCCCGAGCCTCGCCAATGCCGCTCCTACGCACGTGCCGTTTTCCACTTGACGTTTTGACCTTGCAATTCGCTGGTGTCTGCGCGATCCTCTTCCTCGTCTCTTGTCCTAGCATTGACGTGCCAGTCGGGGCAAAGAGTAATTTTGTTCGCATGCCACAGTGTACTGCAGCCGGCAGTATGACAACTAACGAGGCTGTTTCGTTTGCACAGTTACGCCGGCGCTTGCTTTTAATTTTGCAAGTGACGTTCGTTAAAATGAAAGTATATCGAAAGTAGCTCTCAACGTCATACGCTTCGTCTATTTTTACTATGACAAATTACATTGAGAATTTGCAAAAAATAAATTATTAATAATACCGCGGTACTTGGACTACGAAATCTTTCGATGACGTGCAATTAATGTACGATATAATAGTAATCTTTTTCTTTCTGCAATAATGTTGCTATACGTCGCGAAGAAGGGTAGCTCGTAAAGTTTATTTCTATAAAAAGTTGACTAGATTGAATGTCACGTTGGACTTATTAAATTTGGTATTTTTAAGCTACCCAAGAGATAAAATGAAACGGAAGTGCCTTTCTGCGGTTTCGATTTTACTCGCGATATCGCCATCGCGACTGCAAAACTAAGGGTTACGTCTCGTGGCCTTTTGGCACGCAGATGAATATATACAGCAACGAACGGCGTCCGTAAAAAGCAACCTAAAAAGAACTTGTCGACGGCTCGTCCTGCCGCAAGCAGCGAGATCGCGCAAACGTTGTCGCGCTGCGAGCAGAGCAGCAGCGGGTCATAGCCGATCGGAGTGAAGGGCGCGACGTCGATCGCCGGGAGCTGAATTGGAAAAAAAGGAGAAAAGCCGAAGCGAAGCGCGAAGACAAACATCAGGCCAGAAGCGCAAAAGATTGGCGCACAGGATCGAATGGGAAAGAGGCATCGGGCGGACGAGGCGCGTGCGCGAGCACGAGAGCACGACGGAGGGGTACATGCGCGCGCTCGGGAAGGCCAGGCAGGCAGGCAGGCAGGCAGGCAGGCGAGAGCGAGACGGCTGGAGCGCGCGAGGGTGGAGCCTGAGACGGGGCGCCGGAGCCAATGGCAGGGGGGCAGTGCGCGCATACCGGTAGGCAGGCCAAGCCCCGCGCGCAAGTCGCGCCGGCGACGCATCGCCAGCAGCCTCCGCCGGGGTTATTGAATTAGGCTTATCATTTGATTTTGAGGAGCGTGGCCGGCCGGTTGGTTCGCTCTCACTGTGTGTTTCGCTCGCTCGCTCAGCGCACTGCGACGCCACGACGCGCCTCGGGAGCGAGACAGAGCGAGCGGGAGAGCAATAATTTGATAGCCCCCGCGGAACGCGGAGAGAGAGAGAGAGAGAGAGAGCTTGATCCGATTACTGGGCTTCGGAGCGAGCGCACGCAAAGCCGCGAGAGACCCTCAGCGCGGACGCGAGTCGACGGCGAAGACTGCTGCCGCTCGCCCGCCCGCGCGGGCAACGTCGTCGTCGGACGAGCGCGCGGCCCGCCGACGCCCGCCTTGCCCACCTGCTCCTTGTTTTCGACCTTGCGTGCGCGCGCGCGCGCAAGCACAGTCGCGAGTGACACCGCGCTTCTCCTTTCTGTGATAATTGCTTGGCTGTAAGCTTCCATGGTGTATTTGTGACTGTTTCTGTTGTTGTGCTACGACATGAAGTGTTGACAGTTCGCTATCTTTCGTTGCGCATATATTCATCAGGTGAGTTGCTCCGTGTAGCGTAGTGATCAAGGCAGATGCGAAGCTGTTCGCCGACCGCAGAGCTTAACAAAACAATGTCTATTTCTATTAGCTTTATCGATTACTCGTGCAGGCGTTTTTCCAATACGACTACGTAGCAACATCGTGACTTTCGTCAAACCATAGGAATTCGTTAGATAAACTCAGCATCCAACTTATTCCGAGGGTTAACAGACGCGACAATTTAATATAATAATCGAGAATTTTATAAGTCAATGTTCGATACTTTAGATAATGACAATCGACGAGTTGTTTAAGAATACTCCGGCAATCTGATTGACATGGCAATTTTGACATTATAATCCGATTGGCATTTCTAAAAACTTATCTTCGGTGCTATTGCTTCTCGAATGATGAGTAGTTTATGCTTCCTTAAATGATTCAGTTCAATGGCGAAACGGTGCCACCGTAAGGTAACAATTCTTGATGTCATTCAAAGGACAAGATGAAAGAATAATTTTATATAGTAGGTTTCTAAATTGTCACGAAGACGAACAGATTATCGAAATGATTAAAAATTTACTTGGTGACTAGACATAAGAACACGAACGTTCATTTTTCTTGCGCGAATGTTGAATGTGAACAGCGTACCTATTCCCGTAGATTAACGTAGTCTTACACAAAAGTAACCTTTGATTTTCTCGCGCAAACTGTTATTTGGCCATTCTCCGGAGTTATCAGTAGAAGCAAAGCGTAGCGCCTGACCAAGGAGGCTGCTACCACACTGATCAGAAAACTCTCTCCTTCGGCTGTTCCAGCACACCTCGCAGCCACAAAGCAGCAGCATCGTGCAATTTCAATCAGCATCGACAATGGACTACACATACCTGAACCAAGCGGCGGCGGCGGCGGCGGCCGGTTTCGAGGTGTCGGCCTCGTCGTGCGCGCTGGCAGCCAACGAGATACAGTGCGCGGGTTACCCGGACATGAGCTCGTGCTCGCAGATGAGCCAGGCGGCCTACCGTTACACCGCGGCGCGCTACGGCGCGCCAGGCAACGTGGCGACGAGCAACGCCAACGGCGGCGCGAGCCTGGGCTCTCACCACGCTGCCGCGGGGCATCCGCACGCGCACCACGCGGCCGCCGCCGCCGCCTGCAGCGTCATGGCCGCCCGCGTCGGACAGGACGTCGCCCAGGCGCACAGGCACGCCGCCAGCATCTTCCCCGCGGCTATCAATCTGCAAGGTACGCCGGCACGCATGCTGAGCTATTGTCGGGCGCGCACTTGTCCGCGGGGGTTGTCGCTGGTGCTCTTCCTCCCTCGAGCGACAGAAGGCCGTCGCATATTCGAGTATATGCTTTTAAGCGACGCGGCCGAGATGCAATCGCTCGGCTGGATGAGAATTAGGCATCTTTGCGTGACGGCCCGTCACTTTGAAGTTCTTTTGCGTTGTCGAGCAGATGGACTCAAGGAAGCGCGATGATTTCGGCCCTAATCTGTCGGTTGGAAACGATCGACCGAGCTATTTTTTTTTTTTTTTTTTTTTAAGAGCTTTAATGAATATTTTACAAGTCATTCAAGTTTCAGTATAATAGTTGAGAATGGGAAGACGTTCACGGCAGAAAGATTAACATTACACTCGCGGAGATGGGAAAAGCTCGCGAGCGTCCGACGGCAATCGTCTTGTTCTACTTAAGATTCAACACGTGCTTCCAGACAATATTGAATAAAAGCTTCATCATTATAACAGTAACCGGTTCGATGTGCTATGATTTATGTTCAATTAGTTAGCAATATTTCTCCATATTGGGATCATTAATGTATTATTTATAGTCTCTCGGTAGTTTTTTTAACTTTAATAAAGTTTCGCTGTTAAACAAATGGAGATACAGTGAGATTTTTTTTATACGTATAATTGCAGAGTAAATTAACGACAACATGTGCAACTCCACTTTTTTATTTTTCTTAGTATAAAACGAACCACCGTGTTTTATTTGAAAAGTGACGTTCAATAAAGTTCGTTCTTTTTAAATAATCAATTTAACATAGCGTAAATTATCAAATTTACCTTTACCTCTTTTGACAAGTTGATTAAAGTTTTCTGTCGTTTTACCAGTTTTTCCTTTAATTTTCTACGTTAGCTTAACCAAAAAAGAAAAAGAAAACGTCGCAAAATCTTGAATAAAAAAGAAGCAGAAAAAAAAGAGAAGAACAAGGGGAAAAAAGGAAAAATTAGTCGTGGAAACGAGCCGCCATAAAAAAGCCCAGGCAGTTCGTACTCTCTCTCTCTCTCTCTCTCTCTCTCTCTCTCTCTCTCTCTTTAGTCGAGGCAGGCAGGCAGGCTGGCGTACGACAAGATGGCACTGAAAATCAATGGATGTTCCTGTGCGCAAGGCCGAGCTACGTAGTCTGTGTGTATGTCGCGCGCGCGCCTCAGTCATTGCTATGGTTACGTCCCTCCACTCCCTCCCGCTACTACTCCTCTCTCTCCTCGTTGCAGTTTTATTCTGGAGGAGATAGCAGCACGAGCAGTCGTTTTAATTGATTTCCTGGTGCGGATAATGAGACGCTGATTCCTTTTTTTAGGCGCGGCGCTGCGCCGAGGGGTTGTCGAACGCTCAATGACTAGCGTCAAACATTTAGCTTTTTAACTCGAACGATCGATACGTATATCTCCGTCTGCTTTTTTAATCAACCCCTCAAGCGTTTTATTAACTTTGCCGTATCTCTTTTTAGACGCCGTGCATTCTGCATGGATATCTAAAAGTGTGACTTTGTTTGAGATCGTATCGTGCGCTTTTTATGCGCTGCTTTATTATTTTAACGTGCATCCTTTTTTCGCGTTGTACAGCTCTCCCGGCGATGATTTTATTCTTAAGAAATAAAATGCTTCCCGTTCAATGTGATATTTAAAGCTAATAAATGGAGCAATAACTCTTTTCATTGGGTAGGTGGTTTGTTTTGGTCATGAAACTTTCATTTCCCATTGACAACCAAATCGGAGCTAACGATTCCTGCAATTAACTCGATCCAATCTATAATAAACCATCAATGAAACGTTGAATTATATCATATTTATAGTAAATCCTCAATTGCTTGCGAGCTTGTAAGCCCAAAAATAAATTTCCAAACTGTCAAAATTGAATATTCGTCGTACGTGCACCTGCAGAGAGCGAGAGAGAGAGGACCGAAAGCATATCGCCGGGTTGATCACTTAATCATAGAATTTCCGAGTTTCGATCGCTTCGTGCGACTGAAATAATTCAGGCACTTCCGCCGCGTAGCGGAATCTCTCTCGTGCATGTGTTTGACACGCGCGAGCGACTAATTTATCTCTCGCTCAGAGACCTTAATCGATCGTCCAATTTCCACGTTTTGTTTTCCACGACCGAGTTTTTCCCGTAAAAATTTTATAATTAGCCGCTCAATTATCGCTCTAACTGCAATTAAAGATGCCTTGATTGAATCGACAAGTCGAGCGCGCTGGCAAAGCGATTAGTTATTTGCATCTTTTTTATCGGATTATCCATGGAACTTTATCGCGCGAGCAAGAGTACAATTTCATGCAAATTGAGTTTGTTCTGACTGCTTGACACTTGCACTTCTATTGAATTAGATATTGACCAAAACTCGATTGTATGGCTCAGTTTGTAATAATGAAATTCAACAGTGTTACTTTAAGAAGTTCGAAAACTAATGTTCGGTTACTGGTGTCTCGAACACACCTTGCCTATGAGAACAGGAATGAGTGGGTCGGGTGATTTATCATGCACACGCAGCTGTTAGTAATTTGATTTATAAGTATAGTATTTCGCACGAACAAATAACAAGTGCATCAGCTTTCGACATGAATAGTTTCAAACAGTAGTTTCCAAATCTTGACGTGTGTTTGAATATTAGTAATACATACCAGACAGAATTGCTGCGGGTACATTTCAGTCTCTTTCATTTTTTCTCACTATCTTTACTTTAAAAATAATTTGCTGCTGAGGTTGTTCGAAAGAACATTCCGTTGCTCGACGCGAGCAAGAGTTATCAATTGCCAGAAGATCAATGTTGTGTGCTGGACGTTGCAGGTGGTCTAGGTTACAAAGCATACGGCTGCCACGACGGTCTGGCGGAGAAGCGCAAGCAGCGTCGGATACGAACGACCTTCACGTCGGCCCAATTGAAGGAGCTCGAGCGTGCCTTTCAGGAGACCCACTATCCGGACATCTACACAAGGGAGGAGATAGCAATGAAGATTGATCTGACGGAAGCCAGGGTCCAGGTGAGTCTCTCTCTCTCTCTCTCTCTCTCTCTCTCTCTCTCTCTCTCTTTCTCTGTTCCTTCTGTATCGTTTGGCTTCCTTCATTATTCACTTCGACGCATGGCTCCCATCAAATATTCAACCATTCCAGCGCCTATATATATATATCGCAAAAGTAAATCTCGCGGGGACCCCAGCAACTTCGCTGCCATTTTTTCTTGTTTCTCTTTGATCTCGAGCGGTTAAGAAAAACTACACATATGTTTTGGTGGGTGATTCGCTGAGAAAGATAATCTCGACTGAATTGCTTTGTTTACGTTTGTGTGTGTGTGTGTATGTGTGTCGAATGAAAATCAACTGATCTCTTGTACGACGAAAGGAAAATTATGTTTTACAGGAAATGACAAAGCAACAGCTATCACTTTGAGGTTGCATTTGCTAGAAATAATATTATTAACAATTTTAGAAAACTGTCTAATGTATCGTTTGTTATAACTCTAAACTATCTCGATATTTCAATTCGATACTAATGATAGTTATGACGAAAATTCTACTATGGTAGCGCGAGCTGCCATTCAATATCCTCGAGTCGTATCTTGAAGTTTCGTAAATCAATTTGAAACATACTTGTCTCACGGAAATTGGTCGATAAATTAATCTTTTTAGGAATAATCGGATCTTTATCGGCCTTGATAATATTTAAAGTAATTTAATATCCATTTAACTTACTTTAAAAATGATTTTAATTACGGGAAAGCGTTTCTATCAAACAATAAATAAACACCAAAATAAACGACAAACTCAAACAAAAAAAGTGGCTTTTTCACCCTAAAAGCTTCTCTAGACAAGATAAAACCTTCGAAACAGCGCGTAGCCTCGAGAAAACCCATCAAACAAGTTTTCTCGCACTCCAGCGAGACAAAAAAGAGTCAGACAGCCCGAGCGTGTTTCTAAGTGCTACCGTGTAGAAAAAAACAACATGTTCATGAAGAATGGTCGGGAAAGACGTTTGAGGAGAAAGAGCGAGCGAACGAGCGAGTCGCCTTTGGTAATCGAGTTAGGCGCGCTACGTCGGAGTTTGCACCTGTGTGCGGGAGAGAGAGAGAGAGAGAGAACGCGTAGTCCGACGCTTGATGGATTACACGCTCTCGGCCTCCTGACGGATCATCGCGCCTCGATCGAGACCTGTGTGTACCGAAAGAGCACGCAAAAAAGACGCGAGCATTTTTTTCCCGATGCTCGTTGCTTCGAGAGGCTTATGTCTTGGAGGTGCCGCTTTTCAATCAATCAGTGTTTCAAATTGCAGCACTATATGTCGATCAGAGGCACTATCAAAGTATCCAATATTCGGTAATAATTTATTGCGACCTTCACTTTCATAACATCAAGAATTTCACACTCGTGTGATTATTATTCTAGGAAAATATGATAGGACGTATTCATTGTCTGAAGTAAAAGTGATTCTCATCGTGTGATAATTCTGATATATATTATCGAAGAAAAATAATTCTCAAACTTTAATGTTAAAATTAATTATTTTCGAAAAAATAAATCTCGTTATCAGAATTAGGAAAATTCATGGTCAATCCATTAATACAAGGACTAAAGCATAGCTCAGAGCTGCTCGGGCAATCTTGAAGTAATAACAATCATGCAGTTCGACGGTGATTGTGCCATGATTGCACCTCGCATCTTCGGTATAATTTCGAATAGGGGCCTCCTTTAATTTCCAAGCACCTCTAATTGCTGGTAATACGCGTCGTGCACTCACGACATAACGCCATGCTAAAACCAGCCAAGCTGCTACAAGACCATTGTGCCTGCTGTCAGAATAAATTTTCATGGCTAATTAGACTTCTTCGTTGACAATTATATCATCAATGGGACTTGTAATGGATAAAATGTCGAAGTATGCTTTGGCTTTCGAAATTGTTGAGACATCAGTGGCATTTTGCAACGACAGTGTTTTTATCTAAAGCTTATAGGAATATTTTAGGAATATGCGCTTTCGAATCAGTTGAACTGTTCCCAAGATATGTCCGAACTCATATACGTGAAAACATTCAGGTGAAATACGGAACTTCCTTTTTTTTAAAGTCAGCAAAAAATCAAATGTTACTTTTTTCCATCTACGAATACTACATGCTATATACTCTTTGTAATGAAGTATGCTATTCGTTCAGGAAAACTGTTATAAGAAATACAGAATAAATTCTAACTCTCGGGAGAAAATAAAAGCAGAGCAGCAATCTGAAGGCTCGTGGCATATTCAGGAGTAAAACTGCTTTATAGATACAAGCGGGGCGGCTAATAAAATTATCGTTTTGAATGGAAACGGACGTCTATGTAGTGGAACACCTAGGATGCGTTAATGATGCAAATCGCTCTCTAACTATATACACACAGGAGAGAAATAGAGAGAGAGAGAGAGAGGACACTTCCGTCGAGACGGCTAATCACGTTTATATAGATAGCTGTAAGCCTTTGCGCTTTGATAATTCACGAGTCGATCCATTCATTCCTATCAGAACGTTCATTGTACTCTCTCGTTCTCTCTCTCTTTGGCTTGTGAGATATTAATGGAGCTCGTTAGGACGAGTAGCGCCTCTGTCTCCGACGGGAGTGAGTAAGTAAATAACACTTACTTTTACTTAGTGCCCATTGATTTGTAGTTTTTCTCTGTCTCTGTCTCTCTCTCTCTCTCTCTCTCTCTCTCTCTCTCTCTCTCTCTCTCTCTTTCTTTCTCTGTTCGACAAACTTTGTTTCGAAGAGACAACGCTGGATTTACTTACGCATTTGCTGATTAACAGCTACTTTCCTCTTTCCTTGCTGCTAATGGATTAATTCCGTTAAGGTGTTTGTGCTCATGTGGGCATTTGCTTTAGATGTGATTCGATTTTATCTGTACAACAACATTTTCCTTCGAGACGAGCAGTCGATGTTCTTTGCACATTCTGACATTCGACCCAACGCGGAAAAAATATTCGGAATGTCAAATTCGCGGTCGCCTCGGACGCTTGATTTTGAAAATGCATAAAGGCTGAGAAAACAGCTCTTTAGAAATAGCATTGTCGGAACGCGAATGTTTGCCGCCGCGAATTCTTTTTGACGCAGGCGCATGAATAATTGAACGATGACACTGTGTGCCGGGGCGCCACGGAGGACGACGAATTTTCCGGAATACCGTCAGAGTCGCAGACGCGCGATGCCTTTTGGCCTCTCTTCTCTCACTTTTACCGTGTCTTGTTATACGCGCGCGCGATTTTATCCCGGAGCGCGCATGAAACATTCATGAGAAAGACGAATAGACTCGCGCGCACCGCCCGCCAAGACGTGCTCTCGCACCCCGGCAGATTTTTCTCCTCTGTTTTTAAGCGCGGAAATCAGCCGCCGAGCAGAGGTGAATTCTCCCGCGAGGACGACCGCGTCGCTCTCCGCGCGCCGAGGGCCTTCATTATTAACTATATCAGCAAAAGTTACGCGCGAATCGGACAGATCGGATCGGAATTTTTGCATTCGCGTTTCGGCCACACCGATCGTTCGTCTTTTCAAGCTATCGAGGACCGTCGAGCTTGACGAACGGGCATAAGAGCGAACGTTTCGAATTTACGTCGTTAAACGCGATATTAACGTCGAAATCGGAATAACGCGTTCTCTGCCAGAAATAAAGAATAAATGTCGCAACGGCGCAAATTTACGAGAATAAGCGGAAACGTCGGATCGTCGGTCGCTCCAGCGTGAAATATAAAGCATCGCGACTACGGACCATGAGACCCGACGCTGCAATATCAAATCATTTGCAGGCAATCCAAAAAAAAAAAGAGAAAAAAAATCACATACGCGCGCGCCGGGAATTTTTCGCGTGACGGCGCACGCGGAAAAAGCGTTCATCAGACCGTCGCTCAATGATTCAAGCAGCGCTCGAGTAATGACGTTAATACGCGCAACGCGTAGTTGTGTTTTTTTTTTCCTTTTCTTGCTTTTTATTGACCTCGCGCGTGCGCGCTCGAGCGCAATTACAACGCTGGCACGCAAATTATGTTGCAACTCTGCTTTATGTTCCTGGCCGTGCGATCGCTTGATTTTTCGCCGGCTGACAAATGTTTGGTCGTTATGACGGGGCAAAGATCGCTACCCTCCCTCGTAATTTGTGCGCGCGCGAAAAAGCATCGCGGTGCGGCTCAACGCGAAGTGCTTCGGCGATAAAATTGCAGGTGGCAGGCTTCGGGATTTCCCTGATTTGCAATGACCAATCAACAAGGTTAGAGTCGGAAAGACGCTGGACCGACGCGGGAGAGGAAAAGGCGAGGCGGCGCGCAGATAGGAAGAGCCGAAGCTGGAGTTGGCGTTGGAAAACGAAGTGGAGAGCCGGCGGTCGGTTAGAGCGTCAAGCCCCATGATAATAAAGGCTCCGGGAGTCGTCGCTCGGGCGATTAATTATCCAAGCGCTTGCGGTCAGTACTCGCGACCGCCATTTCGCTGCTTTCGCCCATTTTCTCCCTTCCTCTCCTCTCGCACGCGATTCGCCGCCTCGAGTCTCCCGGAGACTCAGCTCCCCCTTCGCCGCTCTCTATCTCTCGAGCTCGCGGCCGCGCACGCCGCCTCTGCGGCTCGTTCCTTCTCCCTCCCTTCGCTCCCAGAAGCTGCGCCTCGCAATCCTCCTCCAGGCCAGCAACTTTTATTATTTTTGACGCTCGCGTTTAATTTTAGCCCGCGTCGCTCTGCCTTTTTATTCACAACTTTTATGTAGCTAGGGTAGTTTTCAGCCTTTAGACTTTTAATAATAATCACTTTGCCAGGATGTTGCCGCTTTATTCCCTGTATAAATGCGTTTTATGAAAGCTACATGGCTATATTATTAGGTTGGAGAGGCAGATAGAGTAAAATAATAAAGGCGCTGGCTAATTTTATTCTAATATAAGTGAAATTTTACCGACGGGTACTTGTTCTTCCCCATAAGCCTAACGATATATGCAACGCTTGTAATTGTACAGTGCTCAGAAACATGCAATGTGGGTATT